TGCCATATTTGGGTCACAGTATTGGTTTCTGCTGCTAACAGACTGAGCACTCAGTAATTGACCTTGTTTAGTGAAAGTCCATGTTGCTAAGCATAATTTCTAGCTTTGATATTATAATACTATAGCCATTTTGTTCCTAAGCCCATTGTTAAAATCCTCCTTTGTCAAGGTCAAACTTTGGTAAACATTCACGTAAGCCACAAATATCTTCACTTCATTAGCCCATTCAGAAAGGTTCATCCATGGGCTTCTTTCCCACACACCCTGATCAACAATTTTCCAATCATGTTGCTTCCAAGTCCCTGATAATCTAGATGAATCATTGGCCTCACCCCATGATGTGCACACAATTGTACAGCTAGCCATCTCACCTGCAAAGCAAAATGAGCAACCAAGTCCTTCTCACTGGGAAGATTTCTCTTCATCTATGTCCTTCAGTGGTATATAGAACAACTCACAGCAACTATATGAACAACAGACCTGAATTCTGCCCTATCCTGTACCAACCTAATCATCTCTGACACACTTGAGCCCATTGCTGCAGTCACTGTTTCAATCCATTTTATTGGTGGTCTTTCCCTCCTTCACTGGCTTCCATCTTTCAAGCATGATGTCCCTTTCCAAGAATAGCCTCACCTTGTTAAATGCTGAACCTTGTGTCATTGAGGGAAGGGGGATGTCAAATGCCATAATGGTTACCCATGGTGGACAGTGTTTGGTGGAGCTCTCAGTATAAGACAGTTTTGGAAGCAGGAGTAGCATCCCTTCCTAAACCTCATGCCTCTGGAAACTATGAAATTGGAGAAATGACAATAGTTATAGAGAGGCTTCAGGCCTCTTGTTCATAGCATCACTATGAGTCGTGCTCAACTCGACGTCAGTCAATGAGAACAACAATTACAAGTCCAAAATATGAGAGACGAAACTTTGTCATCTTGGCCTCCAAGGAGCACTCTGGCTGCACTTTCTCCAAAATGTATCTGTTTGTTCTTTTGGCAGTCCATGGAATGAATATTCAATACTCTTTTCTAGCACCGCAATTCATAGGCATCAATTCTTTTTCTGCCATCCTTATTCATTGTCCAATTCTCTGCTGCATAGCAGGTGATTGAGAAGACCACAGCCTGAATAAGATGCACCACCTTAGTCTTCAAACTAACACAATTGTTCTTAAGTCTTTTGGAGAGGTCACAGATAGGGGCCTGCCAAAGACTTCAAACAGCATCCCTATGTACCACTTGCACTTCAAAAAGAGTTGAATCAGCCAGAAAGGGAAGAGAAATGTGCATGGCAGCCTTAACCTGATGAAAAACCTTCTCTTATTCTGGGTCTTACTCAAAACTAGCACTCTTCTAAGTCATTTTATAGAGACCCAATTAGCATATGTTGGAAACTGAATAAAATTAACATAGTATTAACCATCACATGAATTAGATGACATATTCCATGCAAAATATTTAGCGTAATACAGGGTGTTGTAGTCCAGAGGGAATTGTGCTGATTGAGAACCCAAAGGCGGCACATTATTGGCAGTTTGAATCTACAAGCAGCTCCATGGTGGGGGAAAATGGACAATCTCCTCCCGTGTGATTTATTGCCTCTAAAAATGCACCGAGGGTCAGCTATGAATTGGTTCCGACTCAACAGCATATAACAACAGCAAACGGTGCAGCCAGGGTGTTCCTTGGAGGCAAGGATCAGGACACTGCATTTCACGTAGTTTGGCCATGTTGTTAGGAGTGACCACTCCTGGAAAAGGACATCTATCATACTTGTAAAGGTAGAATTAATTAGCACAGGAAGGGATTATCTTCAACGAGATGGGTTAGCACCAGTGACGATAATGCTTTTAGGCTTTCACCGTTGAGACTGATATTGGCTCTTGATTCTGCATATATACGTTTCCCTGTTACTGTTGTTGTTGTTGTTGTTGTTGTTGTTATATGACAAGTTAGCTCTAACTCCTAGCAATGCTACACACAAGAGCTATGAACCCCGCTCTATCCTGAGCCATATCTCTGATACACCTGTCCTCATAATCTCAGTTATTATGTCAATCCATTTAATCCAGGGTCCTTCTCTCCTGCATTGTCCCTCAACCCTTCCAAGCACGTTAGATTTCTCCATAAATTGGTCCCTCCTTGCTACATGCCTAAAGTGTGTGAGACTGAGTCTCATAATCCTTACCTCCAAGGAGCAGCTTGGTTTCACCCTCTCCAGACCAAACCTGTTAGTTCTCTTGGCAGTTCATGGTATGTTCAAAACTCTTCTCCAGCACTACAACTCAAAGAAATCAATTCTTCTTCTGTCTTCCTTGGTCATTGTCCAGTTTTATGGTGGACAACAAGTAATTGTAAAGACCATGACCTGTATCAGGCACACCTTACTTAGTCTCTAGACTAGTATCCTTACTCTTCAGCACTTTGGAGAAGTCCCTGACAACAGATTTCCCTAATGCAATCCATCTTTTGATTTCCTGACTGCTGGTGCCAAGAGTGTTGATTGTGGAACCGAGCAAGCGGAAATTGTTAACAATTTCAATTTCTTTTCCATCTATCACAATGCTGCCAACTGGCCCAGTGGTGATTTCTAATTTTTCCAGATTTTCTAATTTCCAGATTTTCCTAATGCACTAGCATACACATATAATACAACTCTCAAAAATGGAAAGATCAGACCCTGGAAATACTCAATGAATTCCTAGTTCATTTCTCTCCCTGGCAGCACCCCAAGACACTAATGTGAGGTAACAAGAGAAATGCACTAAAATGAGAAGTGGTGGTGGTGGGCAAAGACTGCTCAAGAGACCAGACCTGCAGCTGACAGCAGCTGCAAGAGGGAGTGGAGCAGTGGTGGCTACAGCCTCAGGATAGAGTGGAACAGTTGCAGCAGACAGACTAGAATCACAGAAGTGACTAGAGGCCTAAGCCACCATATCTAGAGTTGAGAACACTCTTGTTGTTAAGTGCTATCAAATCAACTACGATTTATAGAAATCCTATGCACAATAGCTCTAAATTCTGCCTTATCCTGAGCCAATCTCATTGTCTCTAACACATCTACCCATAATAGCCCAGTTACTGTGTAAATCCATCTTACCCACAGTCTTCCTCTCCTGTGCTGTCCCCCCAACTTTCCAAGCATGATGTCCTTCTTCAAGGACTAGTCCCTCTTGGCAACATGCTAAAAATATGTATGCTAGAGCCTCAAAACCCTTGCCTCCAAGAAGCAACTTAGTTTCATCCTCCCCAGGATAGGCCTGTTTTTGCTCTTGGTGGTCCACAATACTCTTCTCTAGCACCACAACTCAAAGGCATTGGTTCTTCTTCTGTCATCTTTAGTCATTTTCCAGTTCTCTGGTGCACAGCAAAAATTTGTAGAGACCATGGCCTAGATCAATTAGTCTTTAGACTGACATTGTTGCTCTTTAGCATTCTGGCGAAGCCCCTGTCAGCAGATTTTCCTAATGCTCTAGCATACACATATAATACAACTCTCAAAAATGGAAAGATCAGACCCTGGAAATACTCAATGAATTCCTAGTTCATTTCTCTCCCTGGCAGCACCCCAAGACACTAATGTGAGGAAACAAGAGAAAATGCACTAAAATGAGAACTTTTACATAAATTCATGGCAATTCATACTAAATATTTAATGTGTATAGATGATCCTTTTGGACTTTTGTTGTTGTTGTTGTTGTTAGGTGCTGTCAAATTGAGTACAACCCACAGCGACCCTATAGACAACAGATCTGAATTTTATCCTTTCTTGTGCCATCCTCGCAATCTCCAGCACAATCAAGCCCATTGCTGCAGTCACAGTGTCAATCCATCTGGTTAAGGGTCTTCTTCTCCTTTGCCATCTGTCCACCTTTCCAAGCATGATGTCCCTCTCCAAGGAATAACTTCCTCTAGCAATATGCCCAAAGTATGTGAGCTGAAGCTTTATCATCTTTGCCTCCCAGGAGATCTCTGGCTGTACTTTCTCCAGGACATATCTCTTTGTTCTTTTGGCATTTTATGGGATCTTCAGTACTCTTCTCCACTGGTTCTTAAAATGAGAAATCCTGCTCCTCCACCCCAACTACCACTATGTCTTAAGGTGGTCATTTTAAGAGCAGGTTCATGCAGCCCTTCTAGAATGGGAGTCTTAGAAATTGGGATCCTGGAATCCTAATGTTTAGCAAACTCTCTCAGTAATGTGGTTCTTCCATGAATTAATGTTTGTGATTCAATTCCATATCCCAGATAGATGTTTTGTGTTTAAAATGAGTGATGCATGAGGAAAAAAATCCATTATTCTCAATCCCTATTTCTGTATTTGTAAATTAATTTAATGTTTTCTTCTATGCCTGCTTTGGAATTAAATCAGCTATCAAGCAAATTACTTGTTGCAACCTGTTAAAAAGTCACTTAACGTGTCTCAGCATCAATTGATTCACTTATGAAATGAAAAGTAAGAATGCCACGGAGTGTCTACAGCAGGCACAGAATAAGTGCTCAGGAGAAGTTAACTGTGTCTACCAATGTGGGGGGGGGAAATTCCCATTTATGGAGGAAAAACAACCAAACAAAATCTGGAAACAAAATTAATCACTGATATCAAGTTAAATATAGTTAGTCATTGCTATTTCCAGAGAAAACGCAACCATTTAAGTCATCAGGAAAAGAAAAATTATGCAGTAGTTCAAAGTACACTGAACTAACGGCATACAACAAAGTTCAAACTTGGCCTGTGGAATTGATTGATTGTAAAACTTGTGTGACACTTAACCTCCTACGTACCAGGCAGTTCTCTTGAAAAATGAAAATTAAAATGCCTCCCTCTGGGAGGATTAAGATTCTAACATGTGTGAACACCAATGAAAACACCCAATAAAATGTAGCAAGGTTGTTGATGAGTCTTCTTCCAATCCCGATATCACAGTTTTATTCAGATAGTCCAATTTCTTGAGTTATAGCTCTAGATAGATCTAATTTTCTGATCTTCAACTCTCTTAGGAATCCACAAATTTAATGGCCAGATCCTACACAGTCAAGAGTACAAGATACCAGAAGGCTTTCAGGGCAAACGCATTTTAGTGATTGGTCTTGGGAACACTGGAGGGGACATTGCAGTGGAGCTCAGCCGAACAGCAGCCCAGGTATATTACACCCTCTGAATCTGCAACCCCACCCTAGATCACTAATTGCTGGTATGAGTAGTTAAGATTGTAATACCTTGTAGACAACTACATACTTACAGCAGCAACATGGGAAGAAGAAACAAAATCCTAAAAATGTTACAGCAACCGATTTACTCATCTTGATTTGTTTTAAGAACATATTTAAAGAATTGAACTATCTGCAAAAAGAATGCAGAGAAATTTTATGGAGGCCAGTAAGCTTTAATCAGAGGTGGTGGTTCGGGGTGGGCGGGGAAGCCATCTAGGGCATTGTAGTGGGCTGTATTGTATAACCCACAAAATTCCCCAAACCGGTTACTTGGATTTTTTTTTCTAGTTTCTTCCCAGAAGTGGGTCAAACTGACCATTCCTCCTACTACTTTTAACCATTTTTGCATAACTAGATAGACATCAAGCAGGTAACAGGTTTTTCTCTTAAACTAAGCACTGTATATTGTTAACAACAGCCTATGCAATTCTTTACCATTGCTACATGTTAGGAGTTGGTTTTGTAGGTGTTGGTTTTATAAGTAGTTAGCTGCTTCCCCTCATCTTCAGTGGTAATTCTGAGTCATTACCACCAGAGGTATGCAGTGCTGCATTTTTCTCCTTCCCGGTCAGTAAATTTCCTGTCTCAATAAACTAATGCCTTTAAAAAAATAATCAAGTTGGCAAGTGGCTCCAATCAGGCCAGTTTCCTTATCACAGACAAATCTTTATATTCTCCTTTTATAAGGATACAAGGGGATGATGTTTTAGAACAATCTCAAATGTTCTATTAGACTTTGAATCAAGATAAAGCAACTTATATATTGCCCAATAAATAAACATAATGATTTTAGAAAATCCAAGCATATATTCACAAGTTAAAAATTTATTTATTCAAACTTAGCACATTTTATAGGACAATGATTAGGTATAGTAAGATAGGTTTTCTATTTCATTCAATTAGCATTGCTTTCCACAACACTCACTGTAAATCTATATTATTAAATTGCATAAAAGACTGACTGCCAGAACAATATTATATATGACAAGTACGGTAATTCTTTATATTAAATATTATAAACATACTCAACAGTTATCTAGATCAGGCAAAAGTAATTCGTGAAAAAATTTAAGAGTTTAAAAAAGTAATTTGTGACTATAGAAACAGATATTTATAAATCTATTGTTATAAGATCAGTTGAAATACATTGATGAAAAGCACTACATAATGATTTAATGATGTATTCATCTTTCCTTACTTTTTAGGTGTTTCTCAGTACTAGAACTGGTACTTGGGTTATTGGCCGATCTGCAAACGGGGGATATCCTGTCAATATGATGATTACCAGAAGATGCAATAACCTTATTGAACAAGTTCTACCTTCATGTGTACGAAACTGGATTGAAGAGAGAAGCATGAATAATATATTTAACCATGAGATTTATGGATTAAGTATTACAAAAGGGTACTTGATTTTTTTATTTAATGGAAAAATAGTACATCAATATTTCTAATTCAATTTTATTCAGAAATCTAAATGTTCCATAGTTGTGATATTTCCTTTTGTTGTCTTTTTCTAAGTTTGCTTTCTTAAGACAATGTCCCTACCAGTGTAGTTCTTGAAACAGAATAACTTTCTCAGGCTAAAAAGAAGTTTCATGAAGCTAGAGAAGGAAAAAAAAATGAAGGCAATACTTTCCTATCCATCTTGAAAAGTTGGAAATTTAAATTGACTTACAGGAATCTTGAAATAGCTATCATCTAGAAATGGAGTCCTTGGTGTCACAAAAGGGGGCTCTGGTGGCATACTCCATGGGAAGTTGCACTGCTAACCCAAAGGCCATAGTTCTCTGGCAATTTAAATGCAGCAACAGTGCCTCAGAAGAATGATAGACAATCTGCTCTGACACATTATACATCCTTGGAAACACAATGGAGGGTCAGGTATAAGTACGTTCTGTACTCACAGCACTGAGTGAGTGAGTGAGTGAGTGAGTGAGTGAGTGTGAGAGGTCTAGACTACGAACAGAAAGACTGGTAGTTTTAAACTACCCAGAGGCATCTCTGAAGAAGAAAAGTCTGGTGAACTGCTTCTAAAAGGACACAGGTTGGAAACACTATGCAATGGAGTTCTTTTATGTAATACATGGAGTTGCAATGAGTTGGAATAAACCCAACAGCACTGGAGAAATAACATATTTGTACCATCAGTGAATGCAAATGGTCAATTCTCACTACACTATCATGTCTTCTCTGGTTGAATGATTAAAAATCGAAATCAAGCTATCAAGTTGATTCCAACCCACAGTAACTTTCCATTAGGTTTCTGAGGCTATAAATCATTGTAAGAACAGTTCGTCTCATCTTTCTCCTTTAGAGCACCTGGTGGATTTGAACCACAAACCTTTTGGTTATCAGTCCAACATGTAATCCATTGTACCATCAGGATACCAGGCTGAGTAATTAGAGCTGTGAATTTCCAATATGATTTTCTGAAATGATATACTTTAATGTATAATGCAGCAGCTTTAGAGCAAGAGTTATAAGCTGATTTATGCCATCCAAAAAGATTGTTCTAATTCTTAGTCCCACCATTTTTCTGTCACTTTGTTATACTGTGGTAACTTTCATGTTTCTGGTGCTAGAAAACTATGCTACTGGTATTTCAAATACAAGAGGGGTCACCTACAATAGACAGGCTCCAGCAGAGAAACGAGTTTGCAGTACACTAGGAAGCAGAATTGCCCTTCCTTTTCCAAAAGCCAGTGAAAACACTATGAATAACATTGTCTGGTATCATCTTGGAAGATGAGCCCCTCAGATTGGAAGGCACTAAACATACAATGAGGAAAGGGCTGCTTCCTCAAAGTAGTTGTTCATATCTGACTCTCCAGTAGGTTTTCAGAAACAGTAAATCACATGTAAGGAAAGTGTCCATATTTCTCCCACAGAACAGTTTCTGGGCTCAAACCATGTGCCTTTGTGTTGGTGGTGTAGATCCTTACCAGTAGACCATGAGCTGCCCTTAATGATGTAGAGACAGTAAAGCTTTCCACCAATGAAGGACTCTCATTTGCTGATGTGCCTGTGATTATAATCCCATTTGGGAACAGGTTGTCTCTGTTATGCTAATGAAACAATTAGTGTAAGGTGGGTCCTGAGTCAATTTCTTTAGAGATATAAAAGAGATTAAACAAGCAAGTATAAAAAGCAAGACATGGAGGAAGAGACATGCTATGTCAAATGTAGATTATCTAGAAATGGAAGCTCAAAGAGACAAGGCCTTCCCTCCAGAGCCACAGGAGAGGAAACCCTCCTCTAGAGCCGGCACTCTGAATTTAGATTTCTAGCCTCCTAAATGATGACAAAATCCATTTCTGTTTGTTTGACTCATGATATTTCTGTCGTTGTTGTTGTTAGGTGCTGTTGAGTCATAGACGACTCATAGCGACCCTATGAATGAAAGACCTGAACACTTGTATAACTTTCATCATTTCTCCACATTCATAGAGTTTCTGGAGGCAAACTATTTCAGAAGTGGATGCCAGTCCTTCTTCCAAATTTCTGTCATAACAGCACTAAATTACTAACTTAGTAAAGAAAAGAAAGCCTCTGAAATGCACTTGAGGTCATTAGTCGTGATTTTAAGTATATGCTTGACCCAATCATTTTTGAGCAGTAAAATATCTTTCTTTTAGAAGCACAATTGATGGCAAAGGATCATTTGATACGTAAATTTTCAAGGACATTATGTCTGATGTGATTAAGTAGAAATGGTCATACTGAAAATACCAGTATAATAAATTAATTCTGAATTTCTTATTAAAAAAATTTTTTTGCTGAGTTTTATTCCCTTGAAGCTTGAATGATATAAAATCTAAATAGATTGCTGTGTATGTTATCCAGATGATCTGAGAAAAAGACATTGCTCCAGAAATTAATCCTAGGAGATATGAAAGTTTAAGATCCTGAGAGGAAACAAAAAGCAAACCCAGTTCCTTTCTACATGATTGCTTCTGACAGCAGGAAAACAAAATATAATAACATATTACTAGACCTACTGTGATGGTAAGAGTTCCTGAATCTAATGCTATAAGAGGATTTTAAATCTTGAACCAAGTTTATCCCCTGAAGTGTATCATTAAACCAAAAGACACATTAGTTCAATTAGTAAGAAATGTTTACCTTAAGCATAGATCGTCCTCTTTTATGAAATTAAATTGCCAACAGTACAACAGAACACATTTAGATAACAGAAATGG